AATTCAAAGAGTAAGAGTGAACCAAACCCATGTTCTCTTTGAATGAGATAGAATCTCTACCTTTTACATGCCTATCTATTGATGTGTTCCTGGATAAAATGTGTGATTTTAATTAACTGAAAGTACCTGCCTTTTATATTGGACTTGGTGCTAAAAACAAAGAAAACCAGACAGCAAAAATGCCATGTTGGCTGACTGCATATTTCTTTTGTGCTGAGAAATTGGGATGTGCACTGCTTCCCTCTCAATCAATACACATTAGTGTGTAATTGGGGACTATAAAAATATCTGCATCACTTTGCTAATTCTCTTGCCAATTAGGCATAAGCATTTATATGTTAAGCTTCTCTGCTGCAGGTTCCACAGATAAATTTCTTTCTATTAGTGAAGCAGCTAAGGGGAATGTAATTATCCCTAAAATAGGGAAGAAAAGAAAAAATCTAAAAACAAACGTGTTAATACAGAACCAAAGCACAAGGAAATTAAATTCTTCACTGTAATTGTAAAATACTATACTAGTATGAAATATTTGTGTCTATTATTTAGACTATCATGTCAAAAGCATCTCCATTTAACACACATATTTGTAAGTATGGAGGTATATAGATTTATCTGTTTATAACTCAAGAATGCTGTGTTTTTGTTGGATCTCAGGATTACTTGGTCAGTTGAGATCCCTTGATCATACTAAAGACGAATTTTAGATCAAGAATTTATATTTACAGTGAACCAAATATCTGAGCAAATGGGTATTTCATTAGAGCTAACTTTTAATCTCCATCCAGGCCCAAATCTCAAACATTCCTTCCTGGATATCCTCTCTCTGCCCAAGGGTTTTGCCATCGCACTCTCTCTTTCAACACTACCCTGTTGTTTGGCTAGTGAGACACGTTATTTCTCTATCTCAACCACGGATTTTGCCAAGTCCTGTTGCTTCCACTTCTGTAGCATATTTAGAATTCCTCCAGCCCTCTCTATCTTGAAATTCTTGGCCCTGCACAACTGTTTTATTTTGGCTGCTAGAAGCCCACACTAACCTAACCAGATTTTGGCTGGCAACACAGATCTTTTTAACCATGTCTGTTTTTCCCTGGGCACATCCCTGTTTACTGAGTCTGGTGGTGGTGGAACCAATACAGCAGTACTCAGCACATAAAGACACCAAGGAAAATCCACGCTGAGTCTTTAAAACAAATAGAAGTGCCACAAAACAGAGTTGAGGACATGGCTTAGCCTAAGACTCAGGTTTTCTTTGTAGGGTTGTTTTTTTTTTTGAAGATACCTGTGTCTGTCTACTGAATACAGCTTCTTTTTACTGTTTCCAAAATGCAAGCATATGATGCACACTTTTAATTTTTCCTGCCCAGTTTGCACGCAGGTGAATGCCCACAAGCAACTCTCTCTGGGTAATGGCAAACATGATGTAGAGACTCTGTGATTCTCCCATTAAATCTGACTGAATTGGGCTATTACAGCTAATAATGTCTGTTAATATATTAGTAGACTGCTGGTTAATGTACATGGGTAGATAAATGTAGATGTTGGTATTGGTGATGGCAGTGATAAAAATATAACAGTATAAACACAGTCTTCTGCTGCAAGTCACTTTTTCCTTTATTACCTTCCCCAAATTCAGCTTTGATTCTAGTAGCAAGCCTTTAAGGAAGGCTCAGACAACACTTATTCCAAACCTTTTTTATCAATATTATCTTCCTTCTCTGGTAGGTTAGATAGAGCACTAACTTCAACAGTTCCCCTATACAAGGTGCACAAGATTGTTTTTGTTGAAGAATTGCTTCAGTGGTTTACTAAAAGACAGAGTTCATTTTTTTTAAATTTTTTTTTATTTTTTAGGGCTTTTTATAAAACCCATTTTTACTGCACTTGGAAAATGTGACTATACAATGGGAAAGGGCAGGCCCTCCATTTTTTTTTCTTGTCTGAACACAATGGCAGGATAAGGGAGGCACCGCTCATTACAAGGAATACACTTTAATCAAGTTGCCCAGCACCAAGTGTTTGTCTTCCACCACTCTACATGCCAATGTTTGTTTTCTCTCTGGGAGAAGAAACAGAAAACATTTTTTCATTTTAATAAAAATCTTTCAGAATGAAGCAAACAGATGACCTAATTTGGAGGATCCACTTTACTTCGTAAAAATGATTGCAGGTCTCCCGTACAGCATTGCTGGAGGAGATTTAACACTTTCCTGCTCAGTTTGCTAGCTGGGAACTGTGAGATTGATTGCAATGGTGTTTGGTTCGACTCTCCCTGCTTCAGGAACATTGCCATTACTATCACATAAAGCTCTGCTTGAGTGGGAACTACAAAATATGCTGCTGTGACTAAAGCTGCAGTTGGAAAGGTGGAAATCTGGCTTTATTAAACACATGTGGGCGCCTGTTAAAATTACTTCTGCAGCTAAACCCAGGATTCACAGCAGTCTCATTCTCTGGTACAACAGCATCCAGCTTTAAAAAAAACAGCTGTTTCCAGATTCAAGGATATCAAAGCAAGTCTTCTGATATGTTTCTTTATCCTACAGGAGTGGGTGTCTAAGTATACAAAGACAAGAAATCATAATCATAAGAAAGACTCATCTTTCACCTAAATAATTCATTTCAAGCCTCCAAGTTTGCACAGAAAAGCCCAAAATCCTTAAAGACTTATAGTGCAGGGAAACTGAAATGCTTATTTATTGTGAAATCTCATTAAATCAAGGCCAATTTCCAGGACTTGGAGCTCGAGTGCTACATTTTTTATGCTGTTGGCTGACAGGAGACACTAACAACACTCAAGGGCTTCAAACATCTTGTCCTGTCTGGATGTAGCATCTGGTGACAGCAGAGACTGACTGTATTCCCTGTGACCAGGCAGAAAGAACAGCCTGAAGGCTCCTGTTCTGTTCTAGGATTCATCTCCTTCAAAGCCAGATCTCCCATCCTTGTCTCCCAGCAGCACGGAACTCCCAAAATCAAGGAGGGTGAGGGTAAAAGGAAGGGTGAAGAGGCAGAAACATGAAACCTAAGTCCTCTTTCCCCTACATCACCTTGAATACCAAGGGAGCAGCCCTCTTGTCACTGACCTGCAGGCACAAAAGGTGCCTGAAGTTCATCTTCCTGAGACTCCCTGCTGGGAACACAGGAGGGACACCAGGGAAGAGGAGACAGGAGATAGTGGAGGACTGGAACTAATGTGTTTTCTGCCATGCACTTCTCCCCAGATAAACCCCTACTTGCCTTGCATCACACAGTATATAACAGCTGAGACTTGGTAGAATCTATCAACTTGTCTATGAACTACCAAAAAATACCAAGTTAACTATCAGCCACCATGAGATGGTTTACCTTGGAAGTTGTACTCCAATGGTGAACGAATTTCTCTTTTAAAGCTGCCTTTCTGTAGCTTCCTACCGCTAATTCTGACTAAAATAACGGCCAGTTTTCGCGAACGAAGATCTGGGGAAAGGTCTTTTACCTTTCCAGCCTGCGCAATGGATTTTTTAGGTGAGACACAGCCTGCGCTGAACTGAGCCCACCCTTTAATCCTAAGGTTCATCTGCCGGGGCCAAGCAAGCTTGGACAATGGCAGTGAGGTCCTCAGGACGTAGGTTTGTTTAGACTGTCCTTCTCATAGATGGATGGCCACACAGGGCTAACGGGCTCCATCTGCCCGGGAGACCGAGGAATCGAACCCGGGTTGCAGCAGTGAGAGTCCTGCATGCTAACCACTAGGCCACCAGGGGTCTCAATTCTGACTATTGCAATGCCATATGGCATCTCCCTGCAAGGGTGAATCAGGCAAAAATGAGGGACAAAATGATTTTTTGTGAGCACATTCTGGGACCTGCTCTTCTGCCTGCCTGCACTAGAACATACAGCAGGTATTACTGACAGCCCAGGCTACCTGTGCAATGCAGCTAATGTGCAAAAATAAATGGTTTGTTGTAAGGATCTCATAATAATATCTGGCAAAATATACACTGGACACCTTGAGGAGCGCATTGACTGATGACAAGCATGGCACTCAGTCTTTGTCTCGGATCCATCTGTGAATGGATCAGTCCTCATTTTCATAAAATCACTGTTTATTGTACTGGCCCACTAATTGCTACTATTAAAGCGAATGGTACCATGTATGGTCTTGCAGAGTATCAACAACCTAGAGCTGTGAGGCACCTACCTAGGTGTGTTGAAAGGTGCTGCATGCAAATATCTACACTCATCAGATGGGCATTTCTTTGATTATTACTGTTTTACCTTTGCCATCTCTTAGGGCAGTTCCCCTCCACGGCATCCATGGATACCAGCTGCCTACCTGTTTTAGCCAGCAGCTGCTATCAGCTCTGTGCTATTCATGTGGCAGAGCTCTCACTCCCTAGCAGGTTGTTATGGTTATGGGCATTTTCCTGTGTTGGAAGGACCAGGAATGAACGTGCTTTCATGTGCTTTTGGCCCACATTGCCTCTGTGGCACATGGAATATCCAGCTCCCTGAAACCACATCCCCTGTTCATTGCTGACATTGGGGAATCATCTGGATTCAAGGGCACAAGATGTGATTTACTATGTATTTTTCCTCCCAAACACTGTAAACCACCTTGGGATTTATTTTACCATTTATTTTGCTATGACCAGGAGGATGTTGGATTAATATTTCCTCTACCAAAAACAGCAACACTGTCAGCAGAGAGTTTGTCCCATAAACTGGATCGGAGCTGGACAAGCAGGACTCCTGGTGACCTGAACAGTGGATTGTTCTGGAGAATTATCTGCAGAAATCCTGCTATATCTCATCTACAGAGAAGTGTCAGAGATCCCAAGCTGGGGCTAAGGAGTAACCACTGGCACCCAGGACAGATTCCTGAAGACTTCACTACACATAAAGCAGGCACCAGGCATATCCACTCCAACATAAGGGTTTCGTACATGTCAAAACAGTTCAAATCAAACATCTCGCCATTCATTAATCATGTTCTTTGCTCTGTCTTTTTTTTCTTGTTGTAAAAAAATGTGCATAAAACAAGGGCAGAAGTATAAATTTATTGTCTATAGACTGGAAATCTTTTTTTTCCGGTCAGCTCTGTTCCTGAGTCAGCTATCGTGTGCACTGCCAAAGGAAGTAATGGAAGTTGTCTATACAAAAGAAAGGGAGCACAAATCAACAGGAGAGAAAATTGGGTTTATCTTGAGCCACTGGCAAAAACAAAGCTGTCAACGATGTGAAATGAGACAGAGCTCACTGCAGACTTGCATATTCTGTATCGATGATATCTAAGTTGCATGATTGCTTTGCAGCTCTTTTTCCTTCAACCCAAATAATATCAGACTTCAGATTTCTTCTCAGCCTATCTGTCTGCTTGCAAGACAGTACTGCATTGATTTCCATCTGGTGCATGTTTTAAAAGTTTTCCTCACAACCCTAAGGATTAACTGGCCTTTTTTTTTACAGAACTTTGGATTCTGAAGCATGCTGAAGAAAACAATCACAGCAAAGAAGTACCAAATCTCTTGCAAACTCTCCCCTCATCACTGGGCATTCAAAGACACACCAGCAGCTGTTAATGTAACGTTATGGATGATTAGCAGGACTTCCTGTATCTAATGAACATAGCTCTTTCAGAGAGGAGACACAGTGCAATGCTGTCCCAGGAAAATAAAAACGATGTAACGTTCAGTCAGGAATGCATTTACTACATGGCCCGGAATGGTGAATTGATCTCATGCTTCTGTAACAAAGATCTCATCTGTAGTCCCTGTGCACTGCCGGCACTGGCACGGCTTCAGAACCAGCCCGACGATCCCGCTCCCAAAAGGAACTGATTAGGAGGGATGTTCCAGGAGCTATTTGATACAGGCAGCACAGTTCAGAATGCCATTTATAGAGTAAAAAAAACCCCAAAAACCAGCATACAGCAATCTTAAGTATTTTCATGTCTAGGAATGTCAATGGCATCCTCTGACAGTAAAAATACAGGCTTTTTAAGCGCTCCTATAACCACGGTGTTCCTGGACTTGAAGGAAGTAGAGCTGATGGACAGATGTTTTGGTGTGAGCATGGCACAGAAGAGAAAAAGGTTCTGTTTGTTTTCCACTCCTTTCCTCTTGATTTTAACTGGAATTATAAATGTAGATCCATTTAAAATCCCACTGTTCATATCTCCATGTCTTGTTGCACACAACAAGGGTATCCAGGGATATGTGAAACAAAATGCGGAGTTGTCAGACGACCTAATGGTGATGGAAACAAGGATAACGTAAGTAACACAGGCAACTTGTATGAAAGGCTTTCAGCATCTTTTGCCAAATACCCAACTTGTGGCAACAGTGCAAAAGTAAGGGAGTGAAAATGTATTTGGGAGTTTAGCTTCGTCAATACTATAAAATAAACCCAAGTTAAAATGGGTGTTGCCCAACCCAGTTGTCAAACATCGCTGCTGCAATACAAAGACAAATGTTTATTGGCTTAACTTTGAAACTGCAGTAAATGCTCTTCTATTCAATTAGATAAACAAATACAGGACTGAGTATATAATAGGGTCCTTTCAAGTAAATTATGCTTCCTAACACGTGTAAAAGAAAAATTACTTTAATGTTTATATTTCTGTAAAATAAAAAGCCATCAAGGCTCTCCTTCTGTTATATTCCAAATATAAAAAATAAAGAATGTTTAAATGATGTCCATTTTATGACAGTGTCAGCAAAGAAAAGCAAAGAAGTATAGTCAGGCTGACAATCCAGCTTTTCTTCTCACTATTAGGAGAGAGAGGGAGACAAAAATTTACCATTCTGTTCTCATTTACAGTAGCACAAATCCCCAGGAACTGCACTGACTTCGGTTAGTTATTTTGGATTTATGGCACACTGAAAGAGATTAGAATTTAGACACACATGAATGAAGAACAGAACATTCACATTCACTCTAAACGCATTTCCCTTTCCTAAGTACACAGAACAGCAATGCTGTCCTTAGCAGTGACAGACTATGTACTGTTGGTTTACCTGCTTGCCTAGAGATATTTATACAGGTACCAAGTGGGAAGCCTCAGTGAAGGAAGTGCTTAGTTACCCTCTCCAGCAAATACATCCCAATCTATGTCCAGGGAAAATTGCCTTCTCTACAGCATCAGGGCACTAGGCAAGGGCTAACATGCATACACACAGCATTATGCACCCAGTGATGAGAACCACCTGTTTGTGAGTCTGTTCTATTGTCTCTGCCAAAAATTGGCTCTAAGTCAGGACAATCTCTCATGCAGATATGTTAGCATGCACGGATTTCATATCTTTAAAATACCAAGTAGAAAACTATAGGCGTTATTATACAACACTATGGTTAAAACAATATATAATTCCTGCCCTTGATGGAGGAGGGCATTTTGTTCATACAGTCTGCTTAGTTATGAGAATCTAGGATATAGTCTAGGCAGAAAGGCAATGCATTGAGTAGCTCCCTATCAGTTTGAAAGCAATGATATGCCCTGCAGAGCACAAACCAACTCCATACACCTAACACTCCATGCCTCATCTGCCTTGCTCAGCTGGGGTACAACATCCTCACGCAAGAGCAGGTGGCCAAACAAAGTGTCTTTCCTTGGGTTTTGATTCCCGTCAACATTAAACACATCCAACTCTTCCACTCTGCAGGCTTTCTAATGAAGTGTCTGCAGGCAAGAAAGAGGCATTAAGAGAGGGAGCACTGCAAAAATAAAGTGAGAATAGGCTGCTCCAGGAGATGGACAGAGATTAAGGTTGGATATCCCTGGCCTCGGTTTTACTGTGAGCATACTAATGCCCACATCTGCAATTGAAATGCTCTGGAAACCTTCACTGCAGCCTCCAAGAACACAGTGCAAAATAATAAATCCAGCAAGATGGTTCACAAATAGGAAAGAGGAGGAAGGGTTGATTTTTGTGGTTATTATTTTTTTCTGAACTATAACCAAAGAACTGAAAATGTCTAAATATGTAGAACGTTTATTAAAAAAAATTGTCAAGGTTTCAAAGTCAAGCACTCACAAGTTAGGAAAGTGTCAATGGCAACAGTTTTGAGAGTCTAGTATAAAATGCCTAGGATTTTGTTTTTCAGAACTTTGATTTTTATGGAGTCCAAATCTCTTGGAGACCCAATCTTTTAAAGACCCAAACACTAACATTCCAGTGAGCTCTCAACAACTGATCAGCGCAACTTCTTGCAGGTTACTTGCTCAATCACCTCAACTCAATCAGTCCAACCCTTATATTGCTTCCTGACTTCAAGCCACTGATAATGAAATCCTGCTGCTCTGTATCTCCAGGCCATATCCCACATTGCCACAGCCAAATCATTGTCTGTGCTGTCCTTCAATCACATGCTTTTTGATGAAAAGTTACAATCCCCTGAAGTAACTTGTGGAGCACTTACCCTGTCCTTCCTCTGAGCTCTCCTCCAACTCACTTCTAACAAATCTCACTAAAGCATTTAGGCTGTTTTGTTCTGTGATTTGATACCAATGATGAGCACAATAAAGTTCTGGATTCCTAAGTATTGGTACAACAGAAATAAATATGAAAATGATATAGTATGCCTAGTGAAGAGGAGGCAGGAAAATGGCCAGTTGTGTCTCTTTATCTTTCTATCACATAAATCACACATACATTTATTTATATTTAAATATATCAAAATAGAAGCCAGATACCTGCTCCCTACATCTGGTGGAATAAAACCCCTCTGACTATACTTTTCCTTTGGAATGTCTCAATTTACCAAACAGAAAGATTTCATCCAGACAAGTATTCAATTAAATTCCTTTGGAAAACAGGCAAGCTTCCACTGGAGCTATGCCAGCCCCAGCTTCTGAGCAGCCCAGCTGGTACTCTCCTGAGGACCAGGGTTTCCAGTTCCCACAGCTTCAACGAAACTGCCTGAAGATTAAGGACATTTGGACTTATAATGCCTACAGTCCAGGGCAGCCTACCAGGCACAGCACAGTGTCGTGGTCACTGGGGAGCTCAGAGATACCAGGGTCATGGCTAGAGCCATGGCCAACATTCAAGTATCCCACAGCTCGGGCTCCAGTCCCTTTTACAGGCAATTTCAAACTATTGGAACATCAAGGTTCCCTGAGAAATCAAAATACTTTTCTCCTTCCAGCTCTATTGCATACATATGTGGCAAACAAAAGAAGATTCTTCTTGATCTTTTCCTCTCCTTCAGCTGTTCCTTGTTACTGTATGTTCATCTTGTTTGTTCTTTTGTATGAATTAGTTTGCTGCTTTTTTTTGTGAAAGACACCATTTTTCTACCTGTATTTGAACAGTTTCCAGCATAATGAGATCCAGATATTAGTTGTATGTGGTTTTGTAATGCAAGCAACACGGTGTTATCATTTTCTTTTTTCCCTCATTAGAGAGAAGTTAATTGAAAAATCAAAGCCTTCCCTCTAATCATTTTCACTCTGTTAGCTGTAGGCAACATTTGTTGGATAGTAATTAAAATAATATAAAAGTATCTAAATTTTGCATTCATATTGTTTCTTATTTTTTTCACAGGCTGTGTGTTTGTTCTTCCCCCAGCTGAAAAGCTAGAAATGAGAATTGACTTCCCAAGTTCTCACCCACCTCCCTCTATTTTATACCATATTGCAACTTGTCATATTACATTGTGAATATCTTAAGGACTATTTGACATATTAGTTGCATATTTATGTTGAAGAGCTTTTTCCCTCCACTATTTTTAGATAGATCAATTTTACATGTTATGATATACATATCTATATTTATACTGAATATGTTTAATTTTTTTCTTACCATATTTAGTTCAAGGCTTTTAATGATGATATGCACTAAAAAAAGAGTTTTTTATCAGATCTTTATTTCACAAGGCAGATGGATACATGTCAGTTCTTCTGGGAAATCACACTACTCTACTAGACACAGGTGAGTTTCCTACTACAGCCAGGAGACAGTACTTAACTTCACAAAGTAAAGATCAAGATGGTTGCTCTCATTAAGAGAGACACACTTTGTGTTTCTCAAAACAAGGAGGAGCTAATGAAAACATCTAAGGCAAACAAACTGAAATATTTCTTTAACTCACTGTGGTGCACATCAGTGATAGATGCCATGCCTGTCTTGCTCCTGCTCTCAATCCTTACAAACCCAGTTCTGCAAATCCATACACGAATAATTGCTCCAGCTTCTTCAGATTAAGGCTATTCATGGGATTAAAGCAGCTCTGGACCAACTGATGGTGAACAAAATTGCTGCAACATAATGTTATGTACTGCAGTGCAGACCTCTAACTTTATATTTGGTAATTGAAATGTAAATAATTTATTAAAAAAAAAAGGCGTCGCTCAGAAAAGTTACTACTAAAATCAAAACGAATTTCTCTAGGGCTCTATTTACAATGCCAAAAGAATTGCATAAGCACGATTCCTGACTTTCATGAATGTAACCAGGGTGGTTATGCCCCAGAACTGAATAATAATTAAAAGTTAGATATTGGCAGCTTCAGGCTTGCTTTTCCACAGAAGCCTAAGGGGTAAACCTTAGAAGGCAAACTTCACAACAGCCACTTCATTATGGAAAGAACATGCATCTGATCCCAAGAAAGGCACTCAAAACTAACATCTCTGTGGCAATGCAAGGATGACCCACATGAAGAGGATAAGATTTCATGCTGTCAACTGTAAGGATTTCCAACATGAGTTTACAAAATATGCTGAATTTTGGACACTTTCACCCACCTTTCTCTCTAAGCCTGTGTAGCAAAGGTGTCCAACCTTCCTGATACCTTATGTGATCTTAGCAAAAACTGCACGTGGGAGCTGAGGAGGATGTTCTGGAAGCAGCTTCCAGGCAGGGGAAAATGGCTCTGCTGGCATCCCAAGTCATCTGCAGCTGGACAGGCTGAACTGGGCACACAGCTGGATCCTGGGTCAGCCAGTGCCCCTTGGCTCCAGCAGCCTCTGCTGCCCAGAGCTGGGGATTCAGGTTATCTGTCACCCCAACAGCAAAGCCTTTCTACCAAATATGTGGCATCACTTTGGCACAGGACCTGTGCTTAACAGCTCACAAACCACAGGTTTGCCATTGTTTCATTTCCTGGCCTTTTTTTTTTTTTCTGCAGCCACGAGGGTTAGAAATTGTTTTTTAAAAATGAAAGCTGAGAATTGCAAGTCAGTGTGCCTCTAGTTCCTGAGGCTTCCATATTGGTAGTATCTTAGTAACTACTGTTACTACTACCGTAACAACTCACAACTCTCAAAAGACATAAGAAAGTAATGATACTGTGCAATATCTCGAGGAGTCCTCTAGAGATAAGAAATACTCACGACCTGATGATTTTTTGTTCATGAGCCATGGCATGTCAAAGAGCACAGTGACCTGGCAGGGATTGATGGAGATTAAAAGCACATGCTGACGCTCGCACACACAGAAATCGCTATGGAAAACGTGCTGCCTAACTGTGCATGAATGAATCCAACAGCTCAGGCACCTCAGCACTAAGCTCCAGTGGGAAGACGGAAGTACTGCAAGGGACATTCCTGGGTGTCCACTCATGGTAAATCTGCAGACAGGTGGAGGTGGGAGGGTGTGCTTGGCTCCCGGAGCCACTGTGAACAGAAGGGCAGTAGCACCAGGCTCTCGACGGGAACATTCCCGGTTGTGTCCCAAAGCAAACAGCAATAAAACAAACTGCTAATGAGGATGCAACCTGACCCTCTGCAGAGCTATGACCGAGGACTGTGTGACTGGAAGGGGAGGGGAAGGACTCTGTCGGCAGAAACTTCAAGCTCAAGGGGATTTTTTTAAAAGAGCAATGCAAAAAAAAATGTTTGGGTACTTTGCTGGTAATAAAAGTTACTCACGAAGTAACACAGGGCAAACACTGCTTTGAAGAGAAGTCTGTTAAACAAAGAACCTTACCCTGCAGAAAGAACTCCTTTTTAACGCTAATGTTAACATTTCATTTCTTGTAAGAAATCCCTGTGAATCTTCCCTTGAGACTCTTCAGCTCCAGACAGGACACTTCTCCTTTTTCTCTCTCTGCCTGCTGACGTACTCTGCTGATCTTCCTTTCCAGGAAAGAAACAAACTTCTACTCAGCTTTTTGCTTTCTTTATTAGGTTGTTTATTACACTGTTACACAAACCATTTTCAGAGCCTTCAGAGCCTGTGTGGGTGAAACATCTAGATTTTAGTATTTTACAACAGGAGACCAGCAGCTCCAGGAAACTAAAGAACTCATGAGGAAACCACTCACGGCAGCATTCACATCCTTACATCTGTTATTTTAAAACGCAAGAAAACAACATACAGCACAGAAACCACTGTTAAGGGGGGAAAAGGAATGCATTTAATGTAATGAAATGCAACCTGTCATTCTGACACATTCCTGGTTTCTGGGAGTCAAATTAACAGTATCACTTAGCAAGGAAGATGTGATGGCATGAGGCAGTTGATTTGTGGAAGGATATCAGCGGTAGCTATTTCAATTAGGAGTGCAATGGTAAACCTGGATAGCGCTCTGCAAAGAAACTGTGACAGCCAAGAGTAATCCAGGATGTAAGAAGTTTGGGAACTGATGATTTAGGGACAGTATCATAGAAATGTAAATGATACTTAATGGAGTGGTGCTAATCAAACCCAAGAGATTTTGCAGGCAGTTAAACGTGAGCTTAAACTCAAGTATCATAATCTTCTCATTGAAGGTAATAGACATGAACAGAGTCATTGGACACTCCAGAATTATGGATGCCTGTTTCTGGAGGAACACCACCACTAGTACTGCTGCTTTAAAAAGGAGCAGACACACAGGGATGTCAAGTAACACCCAACAGAGAAGCTGGGGCAGCGCTCGGACTGAGCAAACATGCCTGGTCTCTCCATTTCCTTTGGAATCAAGTTACTCCAGAAAAAGTGGTGTGTGCATGGTGGGCACATCCCCTGGTGGGACTTTATGTGGAAACAGAGCTCTCCCAACCCCTGAGCTGAGCTGCTGAGCAGCATCTCTGCATTGTATCATCTCATAATTGTTGCTGTGAACCCAGTGCAGTTAGAGCTAGGCTGGAATCACTATTCCAGTCAGCAGAGGCAAGCCACAAAAGCAGTGAAAGGGAGCAGGAAAGCACAAGTGCATTTCACCCATCCAGAAGTTTTTCCCCCTTCGCTACTATCCATCTGAATAAGTGGGAACTTAGGGGAATTTCCTTCTTGGGATTGTTCTTGGACTGGCAAATGTAAAGCCACTTGCTGCACAAGTTAGCTAGGCCTTAATGAAGAACAGTAATGAAATTCAGGTCCAGGTGGTGAATGGTAGTCCCACTATGCAGGACATATTTTTCCTATTTATTTTCTCACTCAGATTTCACCTGTAAAATGGCAACACTAAGGCAGCTCCTCAGTCTCAGCCTGTTAAACCCTTAGTTCAGCTGGCATACTCACAAGGAAGATCTTCCAGCAAAAAAATCGACAAGTCTAAATTGCAACAGCAGAGCACCCCAAAATGTGTTTTCCCGTGACAATGCACTCGACTGTTCCAGGTACATTAATGAGATCAGGTCTGTGACACATCACAACCCCAAAAGCTTCCCACCTAAGGCTAGGAATGGAATAAGCAATCCATCACACAGTATGACACGTTCCTCAAAACACATACACACTCAAAACCTGAAAGCGGTGTCAGAATGTTTATTGAAGAGGGCAATCTGAGTGGCTGAACCGACCTGGGTAGCCGGTAACTTTTAACATAAGCAAACAGAGATACTGTAAACCTGCTGCGCATGGAAACTGTGTTTATACTTAAATTGGACTTAGAAGACTGAAATAACTTACTAGAAAAATATAGCTTAAGTTCCCAGGAGCTCTGAATGACCTCGAGATCGTTCTGAAAAAAGCAGAAATATATGGACATATACAGTGATACAAACAGAGTTACACAAATATTTTTAAAGTCAGCTAATAAAATACATTTCCTTGCCTACTTTTTATGATAGCTTTGCAAACATACTTTTAAAACCACAGTTTTCAGCCCCACCAAACATTTTTTTGCCACTTGCGTTATCAGAACTGATGGTAAGCATTCTGCAATGTAAGTGCTGCCTCATTTACTTCTTAGTGAGTTTTGTAATTGCTTGGTCTGTTCCTTTTAGCCAGACTGCTGGGATTCTTACTACCACAGGCCAAGATAATAAACCTTCTTAGTGATGAAGTGGAAGTACATTAGAAGACAAAAAAAGAAACATATGCAAGAAATTTCAGATTAGTCTCAGTGCAGTCGATACATTGACAAAATAATTTGATTTATATAGCAACCAAAATAGCTGTACACAGGAGTATCTGCACAGAAAGTGACCACAAATCACAGAGATAATGACCACTACAAATAGTCAGCTCTGTTGTTCATGAACCTAGAAAATCATTATCAGAAGCATTAAAACAACAAGGATAATCTAACCTAATGTTGCATAACAATGATCAAACTCCTATGAAAATCAGAAACCTGCTAAATCTAATAGTGATTTATTTAAGATAAAAATGAAGTAAAGGGAGAGATGGTAATTATTTTGTAATTTGGTTGAAAAAAGACAAAAGAATTTAATTGAGCTGCATTTATTCTTCTGTCACGCGTTGAGTGTGTGGCCACAACTGGAAGCTGATGCTGAAAGGGAAAGTTGGAGAAGCACCGAGTGATGCACTGCAGGCTACCAATGAATCTGTATTCACCCCTGCATTTTCCACACCACTCATACAACCCCCATTCCGACATGAAAGCACCACGCAGGCCGGCATAAGTGACTGTGCTTTTAACAGCAAGGTGCTCATCCTGCAAAGCCTGATGTACAATCAGGATCGGGATAACTTGTGGCAAAAAAGTAGCACATAGGTGGCATCCAGGCTTTGGAGGCTGGTTTCAGTTCAGTTCAGTGCAGGAACACTCCATAATTTTGGTGTAACGTGTGGAAATAACTGACCCCGAGAGCATGTGCCAACCTCCTGAGCAAACAGCATCGCAAATCGGTGTTTCTGGAGAACAATGCAACTACCTGAAGGCAGGTTGCAGCGCGGTGGTGGCCGGTCCCTTCTGCCGTGCCTGCAGTGAAAGGACGAGAGGAAATGGGCTTAGGCTGACACAGGGGACATTCAGATTAGTATCAGAAAAAAAAAATTTCATTGTTCGGGTGTTCAGGCACTGGAATAGGTTGCCCAGGGAGGTGGTGGGCTCACCATCCCTGGAGGTGTTTAAGAGGCGTCTGGACCTGGCGCTGGGCGATGTGGTTTGGTGCTTTAGGGGTTACAGTGGCAGGGCTCGGTTGACGCTTGGGACTTGATCTTAAAGGTGTCTTCCAACCTTGACGATTCTATGGCTCTGTGAATAAAGGCGACGGAGCCCCTGTGTCCCGCTTTTGGGGGCGAAACGCAGCACTCAGTGATCCCTGCTCTGCCAGAGGACAAGACAGCACCGCAGCCGCGCCCCGTCAGTGCCCCGGGGCTGCTCCCGGCCCTGCCCGGCCCGGCCGCCGGCGGCTGCGCGCGACTCCCTCCCCTTCCTCCTCCTCCTCCCCCTTCTCCCCCTCCTCCCCCGGCAGGGATGGAGGCCATCGAGGAGCTGGCGCTCCAGCCCTGCACCTCCTCTCTGTACCTGCGGCCTTTCCGCCTCTCTTACCGGCAGGTGAGTGGCGCCGCCGGCTCCCCCCGCCCCCTCCCGCCGGTGCCCGTCACCCCCCGCCTGCGCCATTTTGGGGCGGTGGCGGTGTCGCCTCATGGCGCCGCCCGCCCCGCTCCGCCCGCAGCGCCCCTGGGGCGGCTGCGCTGCCCCCGGCACCCCCACGGCCCGCCCTGAGGTGGGGCTGGAGGTGGGCAGCCCGATAGAGCGTGGGGTCACTGCTGAGGGGTGCCCCCTGTGCCCACTGCCCACCCGGGGCTGGCGCTGTCGTCTTCACCCCGTGCTGGTTCACCTCACGCCTTGGGCCCTTGGGCCCTGCCTTGGTGCGGATAGTTCACATCCTGAGCCCGTTGCTGGCCAGCTCGTACCTTACATTCACAAATGTTTAAGGATCTGGAGCATCTCTCATTAGGAGAGACTGGGGGAGCTGGGCCTGTTCGGTCTTGAGAAGACCGAGAGGGGATCTCATTAATTCGTATAAATATTTCAAAGGCAGGTGCTGAAATGATGGTGCCAGACTCTTGTTGGTGGTGCCTAGCAACAGGACAAGGAGCAATGGCCATAAACTAAAAAACAAGAAGTTCCACCTCAACATGAGGAAGAACTTTACGTGTAGGGTGACAGAGCAGTGGAACAGCCTGCCCAGGGAGGTCATGGAGTCTCCCTCTCTGGAGACATTCCAAACCCACCTGGATGTGTTCCTGTGTTTCTGCCTTGGACTAGATGGTCTCCAGAGGTCCTTTCCAGTGCTAACAATTCTGTGAATTACTCCATTGCTCTACTAGCCCAACCGCAGCACCTGCAGTTGGGAAGCGGGAGAGGAACTCCTGTCCTTTATCATGTTTATATCAACGTGAGTCACACAGGATCACGGAGAACTGATACCTCCAACAGCGCCAGAAATGCAAGGTGTGAAAGGAAAGTCGCTTCTTGGAGTGCAAAGTGCTGCATGTTCTTTGGACGCTTTCCTTGGACCTGCACAAAACCACTTGTTTCTGTGGCTGACTGGTCCAGGATGAGCTTTTACCCAGGCAGAGGGGTGGAAGGGGAAATGCATAAAAATTTGGACAGCCCTAGAAATACATACTGCAAAACACATCTCTTATTCTTTCTTTGCTTCGCTTCTGGACGCCTCAGTTGGAAAGGCAGAACAGGAATGTATATGGAGGAAGTGTGTTTAAGTCCAACAGTGAGATACGGTACAGAAAAGGAAAAGCAAGGGTTCAAATAGGTTGCACCAAAGCAGATGAGCTGATTTTTTACCTTTTAAAAATACTTTTTGTATATTATTTTCATAAAGAAAGTTCTTCTTAGTCGGAATAACTAAAGTAATTTGTGAACAGCTGAGAGCTTTACACCGAATTAATTATTTCTTTTTAGGTATCAGAAGTAAACCTAAGAACATTCTTTCGTGTTCTGAATTTTTGCTGTCTTAGTTTACAAGTGACAGGTTTTACTACTTAATTTCATTTTCGTTTCTGAGTCATACTCGATTTACATGAAAAATGGTATTTAATTAAAATGTACAATACAGAATTACAAAATTACATTTAATTGAATAGATGTACCGTAAACGTGATGAGTATTGCAAAGAAGGAATAAGGATGTGTTCGGTCATGTGCTTTGACAGAGACCAGCATTGCCACCAAATGAAGTAGACTTGCCCTTCTTGCTACTTCCTCTCCTTGCACAAGTGTTTCTGCAGCAACAGAGTGAGCTGGACCAGGATCAAACCTAATCTGGCCAAAAAAAAGGAAGTTAGTTTTAACCTAAACAAGATCAGTGATTCAGTTCATTATGCTGGCAGAGGGGAGGTGGTAATGTGGTGGTTAGGGATGAGTGTTTGGGGCCTGTTGAGGGCAGAAATTGTTTCTTTTGGCTGCAGCACTGTCTTAAAATGAACTTGACAATGTAGTTTCTATGTCATCTGTACAGAGTCTGGCTTGTGTCCAGCCTACTGAGAGCATAAGCTCAATGTGAGCACGACTGTCTGCACCTGATCTGAGAGACAGGCCCTATGTTTATTAAAAACACATTTTGCATTTAAAAACTGACTTGCTAACTAGAGGAAATACTAAATATTTTCAATTATTTAACTAATTGTTTCAAAAGCATTTAGGTCTGCTGAAAACCCCATTAAACAGTCAAGTGTCTAAAATCTAAGAAAGTTAGATGCCTGATCTGCTTTTTTGAAAATTCCACCACTCCTCTAAAACTGACAATTATTTCCAAAATCTAGCCCTTGATCTTAATGGTTTTATGCTGAGTAGGGCTTCTCCTTGTCCAACACTTTTTAATTCACTAGCTGGAAAAAGAAAAGAAACTTCCCTTCTTCCCACTTGCTAATTGGTGCTGTATCTTATAGTAACATTAGTTTCACCCTTCCATGAATTCCCTAAACTTGCTCGCTGAACTTAACCCAAATCTAATAAAAAAAATCTTCTACAATAACTAAATGCAGAAAACATAAATCATTTGTTTATTATTGCAAAACATTTGTTGCACTGTGAAAACTGAACTAGTTTGGACACTTACATTCATGGCCAGGTTTCGCGAACGAAGATTTGGGAAGGGCTCTACCCACGTTTCTTGCAAGCGCGTTGGTGGCTAAATAGGCCAATATGAGATAGGCACGTCCGGTTGCAAAAGGCACAGCAGAAAGACTCCTTAGATGGTATATTCTGCAAGGCTCGATTCTTTCTGTGTTGTCTTTTCTCCTTGAGAGTGATCCTGCGTGCTTTCTCAAAGGAAGCAGCAGCATTATAAGGTAGTGTGTCTCCAGGCCTCCCGATTGGAGGCCAGAGTAGACCAGTTATGTTGGTCAGTATGGGCAAGGCTGAGATGTTGTTTCAGGGAGTCCTTGTATCTCCTCTACGGGGCTCCTTTCATGCGGCAGCCAGTGGCAAGTTCACCATAAAGCAGGATCTTAGGGAGGCGGTGGTCCTTCATCCTGGAGACGTGCCCTGCCCAGCGCAGCTGTGTTCTCAGCAACATGGCCTCAATACTTGTGACTGCTGCTTGTTCTAGAACAGTTGTGTTGGTCACATAATCTGACCAGTGGATGTTTAGGATTGTATGGAGGCAGCGTTGATGGAAGTGTTCTAAGAGTCGCAGGTGCTGGCAGTAGATGACCCATGATTCAGATCCATATGCAATATGGGGCATCGTGCTGTAATTGGAAGGCTTGGGGTGGTCTTACAGGTACTTTTTGTGAAGTTGTAACATGTCCCCCACATCCCTACATGCACTGTACTGCAGGGAAGATTCCTTGATGCATTTTTTTGTGTTCATGTAATATTAATGAAGGATAATCTGAAGGACTGAGAATTTGAAATGTATTTTCAAACAGGTATGCTCCTAAAATAGGCATTGATATTTTAACATAAATCCTCCGTCCAAGGACGAACATACAGTAAGAGGTTTTTTTATGCATTTGGTTTTTCATAACTACTGCTTTTCTGTGCAAATAGGAAATTGAAAGAATTTTTTCATACAACATATGATTAAGTATTCATGAATGCTTAAGTTACAGCATAGATTTGTAGGCATTTCATGTCAAAACTATGCTACTTATGTGGAGATAATTTGGATCCCATTGCTAGAGCTAAGACAGTTAAGTCTTCAGCAGTTAGACATAAATTTGGATAAATTTAGATAGATGATTTATATCACAGTTTATCCTGCTGATCTGATTTTATCCATTCAACGTGCACCCCACTGAGTTGCAAACCATTGTTCTAGCAGGTTTACAAACCACTTGAAATTTGCCAGACATCAGAAAGGGATTCATTTGGGGGCTGAAATCTAAACGAAATGCTCGGTAAATATTGTAAACCAACACAGGTTACACATCTGAAGAAGATGGTCACAGAAGAAGGGAGGAACCACAGACTCTGATGGTCATCTCCCTGTGCTCAGAGGCGCTTTACACATTTACATTTGCAGGCCCAAGGGTTGGATTTGTGTTTTGGCCAGCTGAGTGTTTCCCTTGGGCACATGATTGTTCAAACACACACAGGAACAGGGTTGTATGTACATAGAATCAAGTCAGGCAGTTACTATCACGTTGCAGAAAACTCCAGCGGTGTCCTTGTAGGTTTGTGCTTGAGTCCAAAGGTTCCATGTTGTAGCGGATTCTGGCTACATAGCAGTAGTGAGGATTGTTGTAAGTCATGGCAGTTCCTGAAGTTACAGCAATTTACGCCCACAGTGGATCAGCCTGTCCTGTAGAGGGTCATGAAATTTTTTCATATGAGGTCTTTCATCATCCTCTTTCTCTGCCCACTGGTATTTTAAATGAAAGTGATGAGCTCTGAATTTTTCCTGTGGAGCATAAAAGTGGGTGTACACTCTTCTGAAGGAATTCTAGGTTTTGGACCATACAGATAGAGGCACTGTACATCTTGGTGTTGGGCATCCAAGCTATGGGGAATAGCCTTGTTGGACAAATCAGTGTACTAGTCACTTCCTGAAATTACTTGGTCTGCTTTTCTATAGTGTAAAGCTAGAAATGGAAGTGCAGCCAAGGAGCTGTGGAATTCAGCAAACTGTTGTCAGATTTGGCTAGGACCAATGTAGAGGGGCAAGGTACAGATTAAAACTATGTTCTTCAAAATAGGCAACTGACAGTACCTCAAAAAGGAATTCACTTTCTAGTTGGGATTTTCAGCTGTCAGCCCTGCTCCAGGTGGGGCCCTTGGTCAAATAAGCCATGTTCTTTAATGTGAAGTAGCCTGGGGTTGAGACATGGATGAGGTACCTCAGCCTGAGGAATATCCTCTTTGTTTTGTCAGGAGGAACCCTATGTTATGTATTTTTGTTCTGTTTGGTACTGAGAGAAGAGAATTCATTTTTCCTACATATAGGACAGCATCTGGCTAGCTTTAATGTGTACTTGCCTCCAAAGTGCAAATTGATTTGTTATCTAAATTGGCTTTTTTTTTTTTTTTAAACATACATCACCTTCTGAAGAATTGGCTTTTTTACCAGGAACTCCATGGTAAATCTCTTTTCACTTTTTCCTATTGAAGTTTTTCTGCTTTTCATAAATAATTTATTCAAGAGACCAGAGGGATGG